GGATTAAGAAATCATTCAATTAGGAATAAAACCCAAAAGTTCCAATTCCTGGGCTCCTGGTACTAATATCACATTAGATAATGCAATATTGATGATGCAACTCTATATGTAATGGACAGACTACTCAACAAGAGTGAGTATATCAAAATCTGGTCCTTTATTAGTAATTTGCACTGGTGAAGTGCTATTATACTGAAAATTGCAACAAATTCAATGGACACGGTCAACTTAAACAAGATATATTTATTTCTGAAGGCATATTTACTATTGTTACAAACAACATCTAAGTTTACTGCAAGTGAATTACTTTGGTTCTCAAGTATTTCCCTGTTTGTTTACAACTTTTCCATGTTTGACAACATTTTGTGTATTGTCAGTTCCACTTTTTCTGACATAACCAGTCTATTCCCAATGCAATGGACTTTCTGGAAACATTCTTTTAAGGATCCAGTTCACTGTTTCCCAGAAATCCATGAGTTAGTTATCCCTCCTTTTTGTATGTGTGTGTGTGTCATTGAAATAGATATGAAAATGTGACTATAAAATCAGAAAAATTGGCAGAGGACTTTGGAGTCACGTGTAGTAGAGATGAAATTACTTTATGCTTTTTAGTTTAAACTAAATTTCAAATGGATAATGTCACTAAGCTTTATAAGAGTCTTGTGAGGCAAGCAAATGGAAGACTGGATGCGAATGAAGTTGCTTAAAGTTATTTTTCATGTTTTTGCCTATTATAGTTTGCAATATCTTACAACTCTTACTTACATAGCTGGTAGGAAAAGCCATATATCTTTCCCAACTCTGGTTCCTTCAGTTTTACTTCAAATATAATAATAATCTCATATTAAAAATCACTGGTATTTATCTAGACGTGCCAAACAACAGGCAAGAAAGTGTTGTTAGATATCCAGCATATTCATCTTAATTACTAATAAAATATCATAGAAAATTAATGTTATTAATATAACTTCCTCTTCACCATTTATGCCATTTACTTTTTGCACTCAACAAGAAAATGAAGTTATTAATGGACCTGTTTTCCTTTCACTGCTAATCAGTTTCACATTCAGATTCCCATGGACTAGTTCAATATAATGCCAGACTGCAAACACTACAGGGAAAGTTTTAGAACTGAAACAAGAAGAGTTTCCATTGATTTTTTTTTTATTTCTTAAATGTCATGACTCACAGGAATGTTTTAATATTTCATAGAGTATTTTATCTAAATGTTAAATTGAAATGTTGTTCCTAAGCTATCTGCAATATCAATGCCTCTATAACGAAAGTTGGCTAGACAGGTAAATATTTATCTACAACACTTTGCAATACAGGCAGTCCCTGACTTACGCGGATCCGACTTACATCGGATCCGCACTTACGAACGGGGCTCTCTCGCCCCGGAGCTCACAGGCAGCAGTCCCGCCACCTTGACCTCCACGGCGAGAAAAGCTGCTCCCGGTGTCCCTGATCTGCTGGAGACGATCTGAATCTGGACGCCAGTTCCGACTTACATACAGATTCAACTTAAGAACAAACCTACAGTCCCTATCTTGTACGTAACCCGGGGACTGCCTGTATTAGATTTCACCACAAACCTAAAGGATTCCAAATTTAGGTTTTGTCAAAAAGGGGGATAGGAGATGTGACAACAACTTGTATAAACAGATATGGTTTTAAGAACTGTAGAAAAAGTTGGAGAGTTACATTTTCCCTGAAATGCTGGAAGAAAGCACTAGGTTTGAGAGTCATAAAATATAACAATGCAAAGAGAAAAGAAAAATGACCCACCTAATTTAAAATGCTTAAATAGTAAAAAGCCATTTACATTATTAAAATTTGGAAGCTCTCATTAGTATCCTGGGTAAACAATTATTTCAAAGTATCAATTTTATATTAGGGCCCATATTTGGTTTTCCAACAATAAATATGTCCTTCACACACACAAATTTGCTTAGACATTTCATCTCCCCGCAAATTAATTCTTCAAGTCATCTTGTAAAGGGACTCTACAACTTGGCAACATGCTGTAACACAATGCACATTTATTATTAATTTCTTTGGCTTTTAATAATTAAATGTATTTGAGTTGTAAACTGAAATCAAATTTACCACTCAAAAAACTTCAGGTTAGTCTAAGAAATCCACCTGATTTCATCTCACTATATTTATTATTTGTGCTTATTTTGTTACTGTCACACACTCTGAAGTCTAATGTTACACACCTAGGCTATTTGAAAGATTATATGGCATGCCTTATACGTAATTTAAAGAACTATCCACTAAGGCAGGGGTGTCCAAACTTTTTTCAAAGAGGGCCAGATTTGATGAAGTGAACATGTGTGAGGGCCGACCATTTTGCCTGACATTCTTTGAACCATTAAAATTAAATGCAAATTAACTATTTTATGCAAAGTTTATTGCAAACGGCATACTTTTCATTTCGTCACATGGATGACAAATCTAAACAGGTGTTAAATCACTCTGCCTTTCATATCTGAAGGCCAGATGAAGAAAAAAATCCAGGAAGCTGAAATATGTCAGGAACATTGTAAAGTACATTACATATTATTGGTAATAAAGGTTGTCTGTCAACTTTTAAGTTCAAAAAATATGAACAGGAACATAACACCAAGTATACATGTTGTGTCCAAATATATTTATAACTGATTTAGACCAACTGACATTAACTGAGATTTTACAATGTATTCATCTCAATACATACGGATTCGTTGGGGGCCATAAAAGATAGATATTGCCAAATTTCCTGTGGGGCCGTATTAAACCGGAACACGGGCCGCAATTGGCCCGCGGGCCGGACTTTGGACATGCCTGCACTAAGGGTTGCTATCTTTCTGGAACTCTGTGTAGTGAGACACACACACTTTTGGCATGGCTACATTGCAATTAAAAACCCATGTTGGCCTGTATCAACTGACTCAGCCTTTTAGCCTGAGCCCTGAGAGGCTGTTGGAGGTATAATTCAGGCTGGGACTGGAGCACAGGTTCCAGGACCTTGCAAGGTGAAAGGATCCCAGAGGTCAGGCTGCAGCCCCAAAGTTAACGTAACACAACTCAATAGCCAGTTAGGCAGAGTCGGCTGAAACTGGCCAACCATGGGTCTCTAACTGCAGTGTAGATATACCCACAGAGGTTTAAACCAGAAGTTACCATTATGATCATCTAGTCTCTATCTGCACATAACCTCCTACCCATAACTTTGGAAAGTGTATTTTATTTTAAGTCCGGGACAGGAGGCAAGCAATGAAAAATGAACCCATAGAAACATATGCAGGTCCAGCATTAATGGATAGCAAGCAGGGCAATTGCCCAGCACTCATTGCAAACCTAAGTTAAGGGTGGCAGGGCTTCTGGGGCTGAAGCAATGGAATTTTAAGCAAGTCACAGAGCCTGTGACCCTTGTGAAAGACTCACATAGGTACCGAAATCCTCAAATCTTAAATGCCTGAAGTTACAATTCCACCTTTTAATCTACTTTAGACTAGGAATGTGAAAGGTTAACCAGCTCACTGGTAAGCATCGCCCTAAACAGGTAATGCTTACTGGTTCCGGTTAATGCACCGCAGTTACAATATGAAGAATATATCCATTGGGACAGCAAATAATATTAGTAAGCATCATTGAGTAAAAGGTTGGCATTAGTAAATACCAGTGTGGGAAAGCAGCAGCCAACTCCCTGGTTGCAAGCAACGCAGAAAGGATGTGATTTTCAAAGTAGTGTTAAAAGAGATCATGGAAAACTACTGGAGTGAGCGGATAGCGCTCCAGGTACAGTAGCTGGATCACTCTGATATACAGGCAGTCCCCGACTTACGTCGGATCTGCACTTACGTCGGATCTGCACTTACGTCGGATCTGCACTTACGTCGGATCTGCACTTACGTCGGATCTGCACTTACGTCGGATCTGCACTTACGTCGGATCTGCACTTACGTCGGATCTGCACTTACGTCGGATCTGCACTTACGTCGGATCTGCACTTACGTCGGATCTGCACTTACGTCGGATCTGCACTTACGTCGGATCTGCACTTACGTCGGATCTGCACTTACGTCGGATCTGCACTTACGTCGGATCTGCACTTACGTCGGATCTGCACTTACGTCGGATCTGCACTTACGTCGGATCTGCACTTACGTCGGATCTGCACTTACGTCGGATCTGCACTTACGTCGGATCTGCACTTACGTCGGATCTGCACTTACGTCGGATCTGCACTTACGTCGGATCTGCACTTACGTCGGATCTGCACTTACGTCGGATCTGCACTTACGTCGGATCTGCACTTACGTCGGATCTGCACTTACGTCGGATCTGCACTTACGTCGGATCTGCACTTACGTCGGATCTGCACTTACGTCGGATCTGCACTTACGTCGGATCTGCACTTACGTCGGATCTGCACTTACGTCGGATCTGCACTTACGTCGGATCTGCACTTACGTCGGATCTGCACTTACGTCGGATCTGCACTTACGTCGGATCTGCACTTACGTCGGATCTGCACTTACGTCGGATCTGCACTTACGTCGGATCTGCACTTACGTCGGATCTGCACTTACGTCGGATCTGCACTTACGTCGGATCTGCACTTACGTCGGATCTGCACTTACGTCGGATCTGCACTTACGTCGGATCTGCACTTACGTCGGATCTGCACTTACGTCGGATCTGCACTTACGTCGGATCTGCACTTACGTCGGATCTGCACTTACGTCGGATCTGCACTTACGTCGGATCTGCACTTACGTCGGATCTGCACTTACGTCGGATCTGCACTTACGTCGGATCTGCACTTACGTCGGATCTGCACTTACGTCGGATCTGCACTTACGTCGGATCTGCACTTACGTCGGATCCGCACTTACGAACGGGGCTTTCAGTCCCTATCTTGTACGTAACCCGGGGACTGCCTGTACAGAAGGGCCTGAAGGAATGAGTACAAGCAACAAACAGCCATCTCACAACATGACTTGACATACTTGCAGTGTTCTCTTTTCCCCCTCCGCCAGGCCATACAATCCCTGGAAGGTAGCAACTTTTCACGTGCCGCGGCGCACAACAGGATATGTCCATTTCCTGGTGCTTTGCTGCCCAGCCTGAGAATCACCCGCTCAGAGGCCCAGGTGCTCCAGCCCACATGGATAGAGGGCTGCCCGGCGCTGCCAGGAGGTGGTAAGAAGGATGCCGACGAAGCGCCCTGCTTTTCGGTGAGGGACCCCAGAATAGGGCACCGGGGTGGGCACGGGAGACAGACGCTGCTGGGGTCACAAGTGCCTTCAGGGCCCCCCCAGAGCATGCGAGCGCCCTTCCTCCCAGGGAGGGGCTCCCTGAAAATGAGGGGGAGGGGAAGCCCGAGGGGGGGGGCAGATCCCCAGGTGT